GTGTCAGTAACCGGTTCAGCGTGTTTACACTTATTAATCCGATAACTGTGGAAAATCAGATTGTGTCAGTAACCGGTTCAGCGTGTTTACACTTAATAATCCGATAACTGCGGAAAATCAGATTGCGTCAGTAGCTGGTTCAGTGTGTTTACACTTAATAATCTGATAACTGCAGAAAATCAGATTATGTCAGTAACTGGTTCAGTGTGTTTTCATGCTCTTGAGTACTCAGATAATGGGGAAACTCCAGGTCTACATGAATCAGACAGTAATCAGATTTCTGCTTTACATCCAGCCAATAAACTCACAGAATAAGACGAGACGTAAACATAACATAAAACTCAAATGCCATCAGCTGCTTTTTTTTCAAACATTGAGTCAGAAAATATGAACACACATCATCTAAAAGATGAAGAATATGTAAATTCTGCATTTTGTCGAGCATGTATTCAGTTTCACCATCACTCCAAAAGTGCTGTGTTGAACGCTGCTCACTGTTTCCGGGACTGCGCTCTGTTTTTTCCACATGCTTATACTGAGAGAAACGAAAGAAATCAGAGTGAGAGTTTACAGCACTGAGAAACCCCATTACTGACTCAAATCCAGCCTCTTCATCAGATTTCTTAATCAGATTTATAGACCTTAAACTGATCTGACAAATCAGAGTGTGTGTTGACACGACCACTGAATAGTCATATAACTGCAGAATAACATAAACACATAAAATGAAAACAAATATGAAGACGATTGGAAAGAATGTGTGTTTCTTCACCCCATCTCATATCTCCCACACTGGAACAACAAAAACCTGACTGAACTACAGTTGCTTGGAAACAGAAGTGACCCTTCATTGCTGCTGTTCTGGCCAACTGACTGAGAGCTCCAGGTTTTATTTCTCTTTCCTTTCTCCCTTCTGAAATAAACAGAAGCTATGTCTGGACTTCCAGTGAAAAAAAAGTGAAATCACTGTGTGAAATCCCCCTCGGAGTCTGATTACTAACAATCAGGACAAACAAAACCTTTGATCACCTGTTCATCTGACGGTTTCAGCCCGAGTATCATCCGTATCAAATGACGCTAACCTGTCGGCCTGTTTATGCTGAATAGTTTTACAGAAGAAAAATGAAGTACAGTAATTTTAATACCCACAGCAGCGGCAACCAATACTGCACATCAGTACTGTACAGCTCTGCAGTGTAGCCCTCTTTCTGTGACGAGTTATACACTGCAAAGGTGAGGAAAACAGGAGGGCTCATCTGTTAATCTACTCAACATTGGTGTCTATTGTTCGTTCAGTAAATAGACTGTAAGATGAAAAGGGCAGATGAGCTCGGACTGTGTTATTGGGGTTTTGTTTGATGAAGGCTAAGTGCACTGTTGTTATTGTTGTTAATCAGTGTCAAATAAGAAGTACTAAAATCACACAAATGTTAAATACTATTTAGTATTCAATAGTCCTGATCATTGTGAATGCATTATCAGCTACTATTGCCATGTATTGTGAGTCTGTTAAGAGTTGATAGAGTGCATTGGGAATTTATTGTGAATTTATGGTTAGTGTAGAATAAGTTAATTGAGAGTTTATGGTGAATCTATGGTGGGTTTGTTGTGAGTTTATGGTGAGTTTGTTGAGAGTTTATGTTGAGTTAATTGTAAGTCTGGTGAGTGTATGGTGAGTTTATTGTGAGTTATGGTGCATGTATAAGGGGTTTATTGAGAGTTTATGGTGAGTGTATGGTGAGTTTATTGTGAGTTATGGTGCATGTATAAGGGGTTTATTGAGAGTTTATGGTGAGTGTATGGTGAGTTTATTGTGAGTTATGGTGCATGTATAAGGGGTTTATTGAGAGTTTATGGTGAGTGTATGGTGAGTTTATGATAAATGTGTTGTTTTAAATCACACAAGTATCAAATATTGAATCACGTCAGCTATGAAGAGCAGCTCAGACCATTTCCTCATTACATAGTCTCTCTCTCTCTCTCTCTCTCTCTCTCTCTCGTACAGTTTTAACGCTTTTCAGCTTCCCCTTGTTTTCATTTCGTGTGTTGCGTGTTTGAGGAAACATCACACCGTCACCGGTAGGACCACGACATTACACACTCACAGCTAAAATGAAGGGGGCTCTGGACACGATTGATGAACAGGGGTTAGAGATTAGGGCTTAGAGGTTAGAGATTAGGATTTGGGGGGAAGGTTTAGGGTTTAGAAGTAAAGGTTTAGCGTTTAGGGGCTAGAGATTAGGCTTTAAGGGTGAAGGTTTAGGGGTTAGGGGTTAGAGACTAGGGTTAAGGGGTTAGACATCAGGGTTTAAGGTAGAAGATTTAGGGTTTATGGTTTAGAGATTAGGGATTAGGGGTTATGGTTTAAGGTTTAGGGGTTAGAGATTATGGTTTAGGGGTTAAGTTTTAGGGTTTAGGGGTTAAAGATTAGGGTTTAGGGTGAAGGTTTAGAGTTTAAGGGTTAGAGATTAGGGTTTAGGGATTAAATATTAGGGTTTAGGATGTAAATGGTAACAGTAGAGAGTCTGGACTGTAGTAAAGATCAGTCACAAGTACAGAGTTACAGGGATTACGTTCAGAGATAAGGATTTAGGAATTATAGATGATATATGGTGAGTTTATTGAGTGTATTATGAGTATATTGTGAGTTCATGGTGAGTTTATTGAGAGTATTATGAGAATATTTTGAGTTCATGATTAGTTTATTGAGTGTATTATGAGTAGGTGGTGAGTTTATTGTGCATTTATTGAGTGTATTATGAGCATATGGTGAGTTTATTGTGCATTTATTGAGTGTATTATGAATTTATTGTGCATTTATTGAGTGTATTATGAATTTATTGTGCATTTATTGAGTGTATTATGAGTATATGGTGAGGTTATTGAGTGTATTATGAGTATATTTTGAGTTTATGGTGAGTTTATTGTGTGTATTATGGGTATATTATGAGTTTATGGTGAGTTTAATGAGTGTATTATGAGTATATTGTGAGTATATGGGGAGTTTATTGAGTGTATTATGAGTATATGATGAGTTAATTGAGTGTATTATAAGTATATTTTGAGTTTATGGTGAGTTTCTTGAGTGTATAATGAGTATATTTTGAGTTTATGGTGAGTTTAATGAGTGTATTATGAGTATATTGTGGGTTTATGGAGAGTTTATTGAGTGTTTTGTGAGTATATTGTGAGTTTATTTTTAACTTTTTGAGTGTGTTATGAATATGTGGTGAGTATATGGTGAGTTTGTTGAGTGTATTATGAGTAAAAGGTGAGTTTATGGTGAGTTTATTTGGTGTATTTTGAGTACATGTTGAGTTTGTGGTGATTTTCTTGTGTATTTTGAGTAAATGTTGCATTTATTGAGCATTTATTGAGTTTATTGAGTGTATTTTGAGTATATGGTGAGTTTATTGTGTATTTACTGTAAGTGTATAGTGAGTGTATGGTGAACTTATCTTTTGTACTGTACATTGCTGCAGTGTGTTGTGAGTCTTTGGTGAGTGTATTTAAGTTTTTTGTAAGTACACTGAGTTTGTATTATAAGTATCTAGTGAGCAGATTGTGTAAATAGTGAGTTTATGGTGAGTTTTTTGAGTGTATTATGAGTATATAGTGAGTTTATTGTATGTTTATTGTAAGTGTAAAGTCAGTGTATGGTGAATTTATCTTGTGTACTGTGCATTACTGCAGTGTGTTGTGAGTCTTTGGTGAGTGTATTTTGTGTTTATTATGGGTGTATTGTGAGTGTGAGGTGGGTTTATGGTGAGTGTATTAAAGTTTTTTGTAAGCACACTATGTATTATAAGTATATAGTGAGTATATTGTGTATATAGTGAGTTAATGCAGAGTGTATTGGGAGTAAACAGAGTTTATGGTGAGTTCATTGTGAGTTTTTTTGTACGTACATTATGAGTGTACTGCAAATGTATGGTGAGTTTATTATTATGTTGTTAGCTCTTGAATACATTGTGGGTTTTGTGAGTGTCTGGTGAGTTCATTGTGAGTTTGCTGTTGGTGAGCTTTGAGATGTAATATTAGTGTTGGGTTTTTACAATGAAACTGCAGTGAAACTGCAGTGAAACTGTTGTGTGAGTGTATTTTGAGTGCATAGTGAGTGTATGGTGTGTGTATAGTGAGTCGATTGTGAGTTTGTTGTTGGTGAGGTACGAGATGTAATAATGGTGTTGGGTTTTTTTACAGTGAAACTGCAATAAAACTGTTCTGTGTGAATGTATAGTGAGTGTTTACTGAATGTATAGTGAGTGTATGGTGAGTGCATGGCGAGTGTATAGTGAGTGTACTGTGAGTGTATGGTGAGTGTATGGTGAGCGTATGGTGAGTGTATAGTGAATATATAGTTAGCATATGGTGAGTGTATGGTGACCATATAGTGAGTGAATAGCAAGTGTGTAGTGAGTGTATGGTGAGCGTATAGTGAGCGTGTAATGAGTGTATGGTGAGCATAGAGTGAGTGTAAGGTGAGTGCATGGCGAGTGTATAGTGAGTGAACTGTGAGTGTATGGTGAGCATATGGTGAGTGTATAGTGAGCATATAGTGAGTGTATGGTGAATGTATAGTGTGTGGTGAGTGTATAGTGAGTGTATGGTGAGCATATGGTTAGTGTATGGTGAGCGTTTAGTTAGTGTGTAGTGAGTGTATGGTGAGTGTATGGTGAGTGTATAGTGAGCATATAGTGAGTGTATGGTGAGTGGATAGTGTGTGGTGAGTGTATAGTGAGCTTATAGTGAGTGTATGGTGAGTGTATGGCAAGTGTATAGTGAGTGTATGGTGAGTGTATGGCAAGTGTATAGTGAGTGTATGGTGAGTATATGGTGAGTGTATGGCAAGTGTATAGTGAGTGTATGGCAAGTGTTTGGTGAGTGTATGGTGAGTGTGGTGAAACGTGAGAGTGAGCGCTGAGGTACAGTAACAGCGTTGGAGTGTTTGCAGTGAAACTGTGTGTGCTGAATCTGCCGAGTGAAGAACTCACTGATTTACAGAGTACACACACTCTCACTCACAGCCTCATTTGTGTGTGTGTTTGTACAGTGAGCGTGTGAGCAGCATGTGGGGGATTCCCTATGAGGTCATCTCGGCCCCGCCCTGAGGAAGCGACTGCGTGACGTACTGAGTTTTGTGCTGGAGCTGATTTCCCGTTTCGGTTCAGTTCAGATGGAGCTGAGCTGCTGTCTGTGAGTAACCCCCACAGAGGACTCACTGCACACACCTCACACACTCAGCACTGAGAGAGACATGATCAGGTAGGAGCTTGCACGCCCCTCGCTGGGTCTGTGTGTGTGTGTGTGTGTGTGTGTGTTGCAATTTCCTGTAAATGACCACAGCGGTGATAAGGAATGCGTGTAAATATTACTGTACTGTCTCTACCTCTCACTCGCTGTCTGCCTCTCTCTCCCCTGTCCGTTTCGCTCTCTTTGTCTTGTTTCCTCTTTCTTTCTTTCTCTCTCTCCTTTCACTCACTCTGTATCTCTCTGTCTCTCTCTCGTTCTCTGTCTCTCTCAGGTGTCAGAGTTCAGGGATATTAAAGAATTATGAAATATTGAACACTTAAGATTAAAAGTCTAAAAATGGGAACTGTTGATCTTCCAAAACAATATCTCACGGGCTCGCTCGCCCGCTCACTCACAGGGGGGATCCCTGGACTTTTGGGAAGCAGTGTCTACACTGCGTGCTTCTTTGTGTGGTTTCTGTTTGCACTCTTTCCCTGTTCGTCTTCATCCTTCTGACGCCGAGTTCTGCTCTGAGCTTTAATCCCGTCAGCTCGAAATATTATGAGCTGCACTCATAACGCCTGTGAGGTTTTATGGACCATAATTCATTTCTACATGACGTCTCTATAGAGCTTTGTTACTGTGCCTTTAAGACTGATGTATATAAATGAGCTCTGTTCCTCACTCAAAAAGCAGCCTGGGCTGAAATACTCCTTATAACTTCAGCGTGAGTGGGCGGAGCTAAACAGCCATAGGCCAAATACACTCTATATAGGTGCACTTTGTAGTTCTACAGTTACAGACTGTAGTCCATCTGTTTCTTTGCATACTTTGTTAGCCCTCTTTTACCCTGTTCTTCAGTGGTAATGGACCCCCATGGACCCCCACAGAGCAGGTTCTATTTGGGTGGTGGGTCATTCTCAGCACTGCAGTAACACTGATGTGGTGGTGGTGTGTTAGTGTGTGTTGTGCTGGTACGAGTGGATCAGACACAGCAGTGCTGCTGGAGTTTTTAAACACTGTGTCCACTCACTGTCCACTCTATTAGACACTCCTACCTTGTCGGTCCACCTTGTAGATGTAAAGTCAGAGACGATAGCTCATCTGCTGCTGCACAGTTTGTGCTGGTCATCCTCTAGTCCTTCATCAGTGGTCACAGGACGCTGGATGTTTTTGGTTCTCAGTCCAGCAGTGACACTGAGGTGTTCAAAACTCCAGCAGCACTGCTGTGTCTGATCCACTCAGACCAGCGCAACACACAATAACACACCACCACAAATGTGGAGAATGTGATGAATGTGGTTCCGCATAGCACCAAAAAGGGTTCCTCTGTTCTTACAAGCTTTACATTGTAACAATAGCAGAAACCCTTTCCTTGCTATAGAACTATTTTCAAAAAGGTTCTACACATTCGCCATGAATCTGAAGAACCATTTCCCCATGCACAGAAACTGAATGGTTCTTTGAGTGTTCATAGTTCATAGAACCCTTGAAGAACCATCTTTAGTAAGAGTCAAACTGGTTTTAGGCTCAGAACAGCTAAATTTAGTGATGGACCCTGTAGTGAAAGTGTGTTGGTGGTGATTATTAACTGTGAGTGAACCAGTGAGTGAGTTTTGATATGAGAGTGAAGCTCCCTTAGAGTTTAAGGGGCAAAACTCTGACCAACTACATGAACGTTCTCTCTCTGGTTTTGAGTCTGAAATGAGCAGAGTGAGTGAAATGACGCTGCTGGAGGAGAGTCAGTGGAGAAAGGAAAGAGGAAGTGTTTACATCTGCTTTTCTAACCAGTGAAGAGTTTAGACACATCAATTTTTATCTTTGCTATTTTCCACATTTCAGTTCGTCAAAACTATTAAAATAACACACACCGAATGTTTAGACCCCCCCCATCAACAGCACTCCTGATTGGCTCAGACTTCTAACAAACATGCATAGTAATTAATTAACATTTTCACTCTCTAAATTCAACTAAAAGAAAACTGCATTTGGTTTTATTAACTTCACTATTTCTGTTTAGAAGCTCATTTCAGATTATAACTGCGTAAACATGTGTTTACTAGTCAGATTATAACTGTGTTCAGATTATAACTGTGTAAACATGTGTTTACTAGTCAGATTATAACTGTGTTATCATTTGTTTACTCTTTAGATTGTAACTGCAATTATGTTTACTGGTCAGATTATAACTGTGCAAACGTGTTTACTGGTCAGATTATAACTGTGTTCAGATTATAACTGTGTAAATGTGTTTACCGGTCAGATTATAACTGTGTTCAAAATAACCGTGTAAACATGTTTACTGATCAGATTATAACTATGTAAATGTGTTTACTGGTCAGATTCTAACTGTGCTCAGATTATAGCTGTGTAAACGTGTGTACTGGTCAGATTATATCTGTGTTCAGATTATAACTGTGTAAACGTGTGTACTGGTCAGATTATATCTGTGCTCAGATTATAGCTGTGTAAACGTGTGTACTGGTCAGATTATATCTGTGTTCAGATTATAGCTGTGTAAACGTGTGTACAGGTCAGGGCTATTTAGACTCCTTTTTCACTCCTTAAATTTCACTAAATGAAAACTTCTTTAAAACTGAAAAAAATGAAATTTTAGAAATTTGGTTAGAAATCATTTCAAACATTAACTTCACTATTTCTGTTTGTCTTCTAAACTAATTTCAAGCATTTAATCATCGAAATATTTCTAAGATTATGAATTAAAGTGTTGAACTGCTGCTGTATGTTTGATGTAAAGTACAGTAAGAGCTCATTGTTAATGTTTGTCATGTAATGTTAAAGTATACAAGATGAAATTTGCTTATGCAAACTGTTGTCTTTGTGTGTTTTCATGAACATCAGGTTACTTCTGCTGCTCGTCTCAGCGCTGTGGCCAATCACCTGCGGTAAGAGTGACCTCATCTGACCTCTAACCTTTTGCTTTGGGTCTGGAGTAAAAATGTCCTATCACATACCTTTAAATATACTGAAAAAATAAATAATAAATATGAAATCACCCCAGCACTGCTACTGATTACTGTTCAGATTATAAATGCGTAAATACGCGTTCACTGTTTGGGTTATAACTGCGTAAACATGCTTGGCGTTTAGATTAAAACTGTGTAAACGTGTTTACCGTTCAGACTTTAACTGTGTAAACATGTTTACATTTCAGATTATAACAGTGTAAACATGTGTTTACATTTCAGATTATAACTGTTCAGATTCTATGTAAACATTTATTTACTCTTCAGACTATAACTGTGTAAACGTGTTTATTCTTCAGATTATAAATGCGTAAATATATGTATACTCTTCAGATTAAAACCATGCAAACATGGTTTTACTGTTTACTGTTCAGATCATAACTGTGTAAACATAGGTTTATTGGTCAGATTATAACTGTGATCAGATTATAACTATGTTCAGATTATAAATGTGCAAACATATGTTTATTCTTCAGATTATAAGTGTAAACATGTGTTTACATTTCAGATTATACCTGTGTTCAGATTCTAACTATGTAAACATTTATTTACTCTTTAGACTATAACTGTGTAAACATGAGTTTACTCTTCAGATTGAAACCGTGCAAACATATGTTCACTGTTCAGATCATAACTGTGTAAACATAGGTTTATTGGTCAGATTATAACTGTGATCAGATTATAACTATGCTCAGATTATAACTGTGTAAACATAGGTTTCGTTTTCAGATTATAAATGTGCAAACATATGTTTATTCTTCAGATTATAACAGTATAAACATGTGTTTACATTTCAGATTATACCTGTGTTCAGATTCTAGCTATGTAAACATTTATTTACTCTTCAGACTATAACTGTGTAAACATGAGTTTACTGATTAAAACTGTGCAAACATATGTTTACTGTTCAGATCATAACTGTGTAAACATGGGTTTACTTTTCAGATTATAACTGTGTAAACATGGGTTTACTTTTCAGATTATAACTGTGTTCAGATTATAATTGAGTAAACATATGTTTACTGTTCAGTTTATAACTGTGTAAACATTGGTTTACTGGTCAGATTATAACTGTGCTCAGATTACAACTGTAAACTTGTGTTTACTGTTTTAAAAAGATACCATGCATGGTTATGGGAGTTTTTGAAATGCTAAGATTTTCATGGGGTTTTAATCATTAAAACCGATAATTGTCCCACCCTTGCGTGCGGGCAGGGGTCCGTCCCGTGCTGGCAGTGAGATTAGTGCGGTTTCAGAGATGATGAAGCACATGTGGGTTCATGTTTCTTGCTTTCACTTCCTCATAGCTTCTTTTGAGGTTTCTGGAAATTAGATTATTAGATCAGAGAGCATGCTACGCTCCGCTAACCCCCCCCCCGCCCCCCCCCCATTCACTATCACACAGTTTCTCGCTCTCCGTCACTCTTCAGTGAGCCCCTCACTCTCTCTGAGCCAGCGTATGTAAATCAGACATGCAGCTATGAGGAAACAGGAAAGAACATTAATAAAGCTGCGTTTATTAAAATGAAATCTGATATTACAGTCATTGCCAGGCTCAGTCAGTGTAGTGTAATCGAACAATCCTAAGCTCCGCCCTATTTTCTCAGCCCTCCAGTCACGTTTTAGCAGCTCGAAATGACAATGAAAATTGGGGTGCATATCAATTTTAAAAAATTAAAATTGATTTTAAAAAATAGATAATAAAAACTTTACTACTAACTTTTTTACCCCCTTTCTTTTTTATCAGCATTCCATCGCTGTCCAAAAAACAGCATATACATTCAAAATGGTAACTTTCCAGGAGAGGGCAAAAAATGTATGTCATATGTAAAAGAGCTCTTTTCTGATTGGCTGCCCTGTACTGCCTCTAATAAACATCAACATCAATAAAAGACATAAATGTTAAAAAAAAAGACCCAATAATGCTAATATCTGCTAGCACATCTATGGGATTTCTAATAGTATGTTAGGGCTAAGCTGCATGTGAACACTTTTCAGTCGTTCCACATTAAATACCTTAACGACCTTTGAAGCTTGTAACAGATATTAGCCTAAATTCGCTCTTAAATTCGGATGGAAGTGAATGTAAAAAGATTTTATTCCAAGCAATTTCAGAGCAATTCTATTGGGCTGTTCATCATAAATTCTTCACAAAATTTGAAGTTACTGAGCTCAAATGATGTAGAAAAATAAAAATAAAAAATTGTTTGCTTTTTTTCGATAGCAATGATTTGTTGTTGATGAAGAATGATAAAACGTGATTCATATTTTATAAGCTAAAATAAACACTGTTTTGATCAAATAACAGATGATGTTATATCCAAACAAATAACTATTTTTCACCATGTTTTCACTTCACGTGCATTTTATTAACAGGGCATATGTGTAGAAGTGAGACTGAGAGTGGAGTATGTCTAATGATTAAGTATTTCTAACAATATCATAGGCTTAAAAACATTTTACCTAACATTTACTTTTGTTTAAAAGTTGTCTTTGGCATGAAAATTTTACTTACAATGCCCTTTTACTGAAATCTAAAATGGGTTGCGTCGAAACATCAAAGCATGTCTAGTTCTGGCCATAAAGTCATCGAAGGTTAGATATAACCTAGTCCATAACTTTTCCTGCAGTGTGCTTCATCCCAGGATGCTTGAAAGCTTAGGTTTTTTAGATTTGCTGTGTAGTTTTCCTGACTTTTATATGCCTCTATTGTTCGATTTGAACTCAGTTATGTTGCCTTCATTGGGTAGCAGGTGCATGCTTTACAGGCAAGGCAAACAAGACAAGTTGAACTGTTTTTGTGGTTATGTAAGGCCTACTTCTACATTCTGTGACATAATCATGGCAGTCAACATGCTACAAGCTAATGCTTTCTAAGTAAGATCGGCGTTTCTCACTGCCCACCTGCTCGGATATGTCCTCATCCTCCTTAACTCCTTAACCTAGCTTTTTTGTTCATATCTTCTCTGTGACACCATGTATTTTTGCAGTTCTTGTACATCTTCACATGGTTCCACCTTAAATAGTGCACCAGTTTCATGCTAGCACCCAAACACGTGTCTGAATGTAACTGCTATAAGATTTAAGGTGGAATGGGTAATGAGAATAACAAAAAAAAACTTCATCTAATATCTATCAACTGTATGAGTCTCAGCAAACTGGGGCTGGACCACCTGGGGAGGTTGGGGGGCTGAAGTGACCCCTAAATTAACACTTGGATGTAACAATTACCAATTTTCTGATCATTCCTGTGCTTATATGTTTGAGTATATACATTAGCTCACAGCAACTGAGCCAAAAAGCTAATGACTTTATTTGGAGGCCACCAACATAAAGACTTCAGGACAATGCAAAAGCTTTGAATAACACATGCTTAATTCACAGCTCTTCCCTTATTTTATTGAAATTGCTTAGCTACTGAAAACTGTACAATCCTGCAAGCGCAATATTTGTGAATGTGTAAATGCACTATACAACATATACAGCATTAAATGTTGACTTATTAAAGCCATAAATTTAGAGCAATTGTAACATGTTTTGGGGTTATGTATGGATTTAATCACATCACTACAGTGCACATCTATTTTGTGGTAAAAGGGAGGGTCATTTTTTTGTTTTGTTTTGTTTTTTTTGTGCAGTTTTTCATGATATGGCCCCTTAAAAAGTTTTCAAAGACTGCTCCAGCCTTTTAAGATCCAATCTCTACATCCGCTGCACCTGTGTCTTAATAATTTAAAGTTTCCATAACCTTTGAAAAGATCATGAAACCCACTGACTCATAGGTCACTTATAATAAGAAGTCAATGGGCCGATGCTGAATTCCATTATTAAACATTTAAAATAACTGACTATATAAAGCGAAACTCCAGACGTTCCACTCCAACAGTACAGGTGTTCGGAAAAGACTAATGTCTTTAAAAAGCTCTTCTTATTGGGTTTTATCTTGTTCCATAACTTCTGAATGATCTCTTTTCTGATTAGCTGCCCTGTATTGCCTCTGATAAACAACAATAAAAGCCATAAATATCAAAACTTGGTCCACCAATAATGTTAATTTCTGCTAGCACCTATATGGGATTTCTAATAGTATGTTAGTGCTAAGCTGACACTGATGCACATTAACATGTTTTGGTTGTTCTAAATTAAATACAGACATTTGAAGCTTGTAACAGACATTATATTGTAGTGGTCACCACTATTAGAGAACACACAGCTGATGTACAAGTTGTTATGCTTTAATAACAGGCTCATCACATCAAGAGAACTTCGCTCTAACAGTTCGCTCTAGCCCAACTGCCTCTCTCAGTGCTTGACTCTCCACTCCTAGTTCTTCCTGTCTACACACATAAACACACAGCCAGCAGACTAGCCCCGCCTTACAATGAGTTGAAAAAAAAGCAAATAAATCCCCCAAAACTTACAGGAAAAACATTTTCCAAGCACGCTACCACATATCTGAGCTTGTATGTATCAGTTTTACAGTGAGTCTTTCAATAAAGAGTCCTGCATAGAGCTACCGCCACTGTTTAACATTCCTAACAACTACCCGGAACACTGCTTAGACTACAGCTCATATGCACAGTCAGTGATGTATCTGGAACTTCCGCAAGAACTAGAGTGACACATTAGAGATAATTTAATGTGTAAGGCCTTCAGTCCAGCTCCTGAAATCCTAACCGATGGGAGAGCTCACTCGGCGTCATTTATCTAGATAGCACAGAAAAAACAATCCTGATTGGATCATTTTCTGTTGAGGTTTGAACTCTTGTGTCTCCAGGCATTACTACAGCATTTACAGAGCTTAAATACAACCAGCATTATAATATATCTGTTAAATTCTAAGAAAAATTCAAATAAGAGGTCTGTGTTTTTGTCCAGGTGACTCAGCAGCGCAGGAGGTGAGAGGCACAGTGGGCGGGGCCGTGCGGCTAAAGTGCAACATTAACACCTCGCTTCCGGTCAAAGGTGTTTACTTTCAGAAGAAGAATCTCTCCGGAGTGTACGACATCTTAGTTAATGGCTTTTACATCCATCCAATAGATGAATACATACACCCTGAGTACAAAAACAGAACCAGTGCCAACAGGACAGAACGCAGCCTGGACTTCTGGGACCTAAAGGCATCTGACGAAGGATACTACAAGTGTTTCCTCATGCCCCAAGACACCCTCAGAAGCTATGACACTGTATTTCACCTCACAATTGCAGGTACAACCCTCATCTACACGTACAATTACACATACGGACTTCCGCTCGACATATTCTATCATGTTTATTCATTTCTTTAGATTTTTTGGTGATAATATGTGTGAACGAGTGTGCATGCAGCGGTGTCACTCTTAATAGGCTCCCAGAGCTCCACTCATAACATTTATGAACAAAAACAGTCATAAGTCTGAATTATGGATTAAACAGGCTGTTTTTATTACTGTGCCTTTAAGAGGATACATGCACATGAGCACTGTGTGTGACATCACAAACTCAAAGTACATTCTGTCGCAGGCTTGTATATTCAGTGGTATGCTTTTAAAACGTTAGCAGTGCAAACTACAAGCAGATCTCTTGTTTTCAGAAAAGTGAGGAACGATTAGCACAGGCAGTGATTACAGTCTGTTACGCTGAGCTCAGAGCAGAAAACCCACTGGCCCATAAATCACTTGTAATAGAAGTCATTCCATAAATAAACATTTGCCGTCCCACTCTAACGGTACAGGTGTTCGGATGATACAGACCGAGAGAACATCTTTCCAAAGCTGTGTTCATCCAACTTTGAGCTACGAGCCATGAGTGGGGGGGACCAAACTGCTGTAGGCTGAATACAGTCGCATGCATATGTTTGGATTCATGTAAATATCACATTTTTAGTGGACAGTTTCTGTTTATTTGAGTTTAATATATAGAAAAAAGTAAAAACGCAACATATCGCTGCAAAACCTTGTATCTCCAAAATGGTAACTTTACAGGAGAAGGAAAAAACATACAATATTTTTAATGCAAGTCAATGGAACCAGACGTTTTTCCAAGTCATTCTGGGCCACTTATTTTGGTCCATTCGTCATGAAATTTACACACAATGTAAAGGACAACAAGCATTTTGAAACTCTGCCAAAAACTGAAAAACAACAAAAATGGAGATATGAGGTTTTGTTCCGACAGCAGCGACATAAATATAGTTCCATAACTCAAATAAACAAAATATCCTCTTAAAACTTTCATTTGACCAGGGGTGTGAAGACTTTTGCATGCAGCAGTGTGTAAATGTGTTTGTGATGTCACAAAAGTGAATTGAAGCCTATAGCTGTTTTGAAACTTGTTTACCTCAAAAAAAGTGAGGGAAATGTGTTTTCCCATGATAAGGCCTTTAAATCTGTGACTTGGGGGTGAAGATGAGTTTACTGCTCATATTTTAATAATAGTTTTATGTTTTTATCTGTAGCTGAAATGGCTTTATGTCATTAACAGAGCCATAACGCAGCTCTGTGGGTTAATGTGTCTCTGAGGAAGTGAAACAGTTCTAGCTCTCTGGAAATTTTTTCATGTGCGTCAGTCCCTCACGCTGTTTCCCTTTCCACAACCAGCCGATTACAGTGTTCCCACGGTAACCGTGCGGCAGTGTAGTGAACGTGGTGAAGGAGCGCAGAGCTGTGAGCTGGGCTGCTCGTCGTTTGGGGGATACCCGCTGGCCAACCTGAGCTGGACCCTGTCGGAGGGCAGTAATGAGGTCCTCCTGCAGGAAGGGGGCAGCATGAGCTTGGCTGACAAACACTCTGGCGTCTGGAACGTCTCCCAAACCGTCAGGCTCAACTGCACACAGCCTACTAACGTCAGCTGCTCTGTAGGGGGAGCCATCTCCCCTCCAATCAGCATATGTAAGTATGAGCACAGCACACTCACTCTGTAAGAGGAGGGAAAGTGTGGAACTACGCCATCTGCTGGCTGTGTTTACAACTGCCATTCATTTCTCCATTACTTAAAGCTGGAACTTATATAAGCAGACCAGATACACATACAGTAAAATAGAATAATAATAAAGGGCAAATATAAACTCATTCCTTCAACATGTTCCCAAAAAGTTAAGACTAGAAACGGTGTGAAATGTTAAAAACATGTCTTAACCAGGTGATGTAATCATGCTTGGATGTAAAAGGAGCATCCAGGAAAGGCCGAGTCCTTTATGAGCACGGATGAGTCGAGGCCACTTTACCGAAAAATGCATGAGCCAAAAAATCCAACAGTTTAAAAATAACATTCCTCAGCGAGTGACTGCAGGATTTTAGGTATTTCACCCTCTACAGCGAATAATATCATCAAAAGATACTGAGAATCTGGACCGAAAAAAAAGGCCAAGGCTGAAAACCACAACTGGTCTTTGACAACACTGCACTATAAACAGGCATTTGTCAGGGATGGATCTCACCACATGGGCTTGACAATACTTTAAAACACCATTAATAAACACTGTCCATCGCTGCATCCACAAATTCATGTTAAGACTGTGCTCTGTACAGCGGAAGTCATATGTTCAGAAACGCTGCCGACTTCTCTGGGCTCAAGCTCATCTGAAATGGACTGATGCTCAGTGGAAACGTTTGTGTTCTAACAAGTCATCCTTTCAGATTGTTTATAGAAATATTGGACTGTCATGATTTCACTGATGTCATTTGTCAGACACTCTTATGCAAAAGCAACTGACAATCTAACCACTTTACAGAGGTAGTTGAAGGTAGTGTTAGGAGTCTTTCCTGAGGACTTTTATTGGTATAGCTCAGGATACTTGTGCAAGCAGGGGATCGAACCCCGGAATGCAGCATGGATATGATTTATGTATCATTTTCTCAAGACTTTTGTACAGTAGTGTATGGAAGTAAGTGATGGAGGCTAACAGAAGTGTGTGTGTGTGTCTCTGTGTGTGTTTGTGCAGGTACACAGTCTTCTCCTAAACACACGTTGAAGGTGATCATAGCAAGTGTTGTGCTCTTTCTTTTCATCTTCATCTTACTGAGTGTTTTTATAAGCTGGAGACCGTGCCGAAGACCACAGCGCTCAGGTACACAAACACACACACACACACACACACACACACACACACACACACACACACACTTTTAAACACTCATACACCCTTTAAAAACTCAAACAAATCTATTATTTTAAGGACATTTTTTTGGTTTGGTGTAAAATGGCTGAGTGTAGAAACTCAGATGTCTTTACAGTGGTGGTGATAGGAACCAGGGGTCGCCATGACTACAACACAAATATAGATAATAATAAATAATATTTTATTTACTATCCAGAACCACCAGTGAACCTACACGAGTCTTCTGAGTTTATATGGAATGCTGATGATGGAAAATAGCGCAAAATCTGAAATAATACGTTTTCTTTGGGGACTATTTTGCTTCACAGCGCCCTGCATGTATCCCTCCACCATGAATGGAGTTTAGCAGCAAAATCTTCTCAAAACAATCACGAAAACAATGTCTCAGACATCAGGCAGCGTATATTATGTAATCTGCGGGTTTTAATTATTTCTGAGTTTTATAATTTATATGTTCAAAAATCTTAAACTTTCTCTCGCTCTCTCTCCCTCAGACGAAGAGCGGACTGCTGAGGGTCAAGAGTTAAAGTAAGCATCACCACTTTTCACACACACACACACACACTGCTGTGTACCCACTAGTTCTCTAGTATACTCAGTACTCTGGTAACTTTTAAAGCAGTTAAACTTTTACATGGAGACCTGCACATGAAATGAATGCCACAACCTTAAAATTGGGTGGTGTTGCAGAAAAAACTGTCACTGTCATAATAAAACCTTTTTACAGGAGGAAAAAGGAATAAACATACTTAATTAGTGATTATGCATTGCACTCTAGCAACCACCTGAAATGTTATAGTATAGTAACCATGCAGCAACCCCCTAGCGACCACCTGGGATACCATAGCAAACACCCAACATCCGCTAGCAACTACCTGGGATACCATAGCAAACACAAAATAACACCAAACACCAAAACAGCCTAGCAACTACCTAGCAACCCCCTTGCAACCCCCTCCTCCTAGGATCACCTAACAACCCCATGGGATACCCTACCAACACTTAGAATCACCATTAAAACCACTTGGAAAATCATAGCAACACCTGAGATACTATAGCAAGCAATTAACAATACTCTAGCTACCACCTAGCAACCTCCTAGCAACCCCCGAGCAACCACTTAGGATGCATAGCATCTACCTAGGATCACTCTCCATAGGATACTCTACTAACTACTTAACATCACCCTTAAAACCACATGGAATATCATATCAACCACCTGGGATATGGTAGCAAGCACTTTAGCAACACCCTAGCAATCACCTAGCAACCCCCAAGCAACCATTTGGGATAGCCTAGCGTGTACCTAGGATCACTCTAGTAACCCCATAGAATACCCTACCAACTGCTTAACATCACCCTTAAAACCACAAGGAAAATCATAGCAACCACCTGGGATACTGTAGCAAGCATTTAGCAACACCCTAACAACCACCTAGCAATCCCCAAGCAACCACTTGGGATAGCATAGCACCTACCTACGATCACCTTAGCAAGCCCATGGGATACCCTACCAACCACTTGGCATCACCCTTGAAACCACTTGGAATATCATTCCAACCACCTGGGATACCATATCAAGCACTTAGCAACACCCTAGCTACCACCTAAAATACCATTTGGCAACACTGTAGCATCCACCTGGAAACTGTTTAGGTTTTTCTGTATTCAGGAGATGCACTTCTCTAGCTCAAATGTATGTTAACATAATGATTTTATTGGCATACCATAGCAAACACCTGACAGCCTAGCAACTGTACTGTAGCAGCCACCTAGCAACTGACTTAGGATACCATAGCATCCACCTTGGAACACCCTAGGAACCACCTGGGATACCTTACCAACCAACTAACATCCAAGTAATTTTGTATCACTTTTATTGATCCGATCTTCATGAGCTCATGCGATCATACGATGTAAAGGGCAGCTGGTGTTTTCAAACAAAAATTGGAACAAGTGGAGGTTTTTGATATGACAGTGACAAAATACTTTTTATGGCCAACTGGCCTCACGTCAGGTGGCATCATCAGCTCTCTAGGGGTCTAACATGTAAATCTGTAGGGGTGATCACATACTCAGAGAGCAGAGTGCTGACCAGCAGTGTGTTTTTCTCTAACCAGCCCCTCTTCTTTGGACCAGGCCGGCTGACCCCAGCCAAACCGAACCTGAACTGTGAGCATCCTGAAGGTCCTGAAGAATCCGGTACTTCTGGAGATTGGGACGGTTCTGCAGTTCCATGTGTTTGTGTGAACTGTTGGCTCACTGAGCGGACATACAGAGGACTTGTCAGCGGTCTGTACCGTACAGTGGACCAACGCAGTGAACTTACAGGGATTGCATGGACTACTGGAAAGACTGGAACGCTTTAAGGACTGGTGCAGCCAAGATTTCCCTTGTAAAAATTGTAATCATTTTTATCATTGAATTTTTTTTTAATTTTAGTAGGAGACTACATGTTGAAAGTAGGTGTCTTGTAATGAATGTGGGCCCTTAGCGGAGGTTGAAAGAGTGAAAATTCCTACTTAAGTCAGAGCACTGCTGCTGTAGTGGTAATTCACTTGAACAGTGAATGCAAGTACAAGTATTAATCAAAATACTAAGAGTCAACAAGTTGTTTATCGAAAAAAACTACTCAAGTAGTTACTTTAAAGTTAATATTTAGCTCAAGGTTTCGCTTATCGGCTACCAAAGCTAACCCATTAGCATACCTTGAACGTTAGCTTACATGAGCTAAATTAGCTTGCTAACAGGCAAAAGAACGTATAAGCTACAGCTTTAGATCTAGAGGTTCTCTACAACGGTAAAATATGAAAAAAATTGTAAAACAATAAAACTAGTTAGCTCGCTTAGCTAATTGCATCCTCAGTTTGGGGGCTGAGCTGTAACGGCTATTAAAAATGAACTTAGCTAAGCTGGAAATAAATTGCCTGATTTAATTTATACGTGAAAAAAAAATACGTGCAAACACTGTATAGTTGTTATAACTTAATATTTTCCACCTTTGTACTTTACTGACGTTTAAAGGTTCCCCACCGTTTCAGGCCTCCTCAGGTGTGCAGAAGATCCAGTAATCTGGTTTCCAGATTAGACTCCATGTTAGCGGGGACCAAATGGAGATCAATGCACTTCAGAACTGACTTCCGTATTTTTGCGTTTCTCAGGGGAACCGTCAGTGTTCGGTATGTCGTTAAAAAAAAACCCCAGAAGTGTTTGTTTGGCTCTCTGCAGTGATCTCGCACTTTCTTTCTCAGCGCTGAATCTGCTGAATTCTACTGAAACGTACTTTTTTACTTTTTTACTTTCACAGACCTCTTTTATAAAGTGGGTGCCTGTCGCTATGTTTTCTCCTTTTAGCCAGTTTTTATGGCTGATGATGATAGTTTTCTTTTCTGAAACAGTTCTCAGTGAAAGAGGTACTGCAAAGATGGACTGTTAGTTCTACACTCTTCAAAATAGAGGTGCCAAAAATCTTTGCCCAATGCCATAGAAGATCCATTCAATGAATGGTGAGGTAACACTTGAAACCCTGCTGCATATCGTTGACATAAGATGCCATGTACTGTAATGAATTGTTATGATTATGTTCAGTGTCATGTTACCATTACCACCAATGGTCATGACATAGTGTAACATAAACATCAAGCATTATGGCCTATGTCATTACAATTACATGAGAAATGTTATGCTAATGCTAACATGACTGTTACATCACAACACATGATGGCATATAATGTCTGTCTTGACATGTTTAAGGCATGTTTCTGTCAATGTTAAGTAGCCAATGGCTCTTTAGAGAACCACCACACAATGTAAAGGTTCTTGGACGAACTTTTAAATTAGTAGAGTATAATTTTTAGGTCAGTTTTGAAATATGTTTGCAAAAGAAAATAGCTAGCTAAATTGCCAAAAAGGGAAAAGGAATAAACATACTTAATTAGTGATTAAATATTACGAAACATCCTAGCAACCATCCGGCATACCATAGCAACCACCTAGCAACCCCCTCCACCTAGAATCGCCCTAGCAACCCCATGGGATACCCTAACAATCACTTAGCATCACCCTTAAAACCACATGGAATATCATAGCAACCATCTGGGATACCATATCATGCGCTTAGCAACACCCTAGCTGCCACCTAGCAACCACCTGGCAACCCCCAAGCAACCACCTGGGATAGCATAGCATCCACCTAGGATCACCCTAGCAATCCCATGTTATACCCTACCAACCACTTAGCATCACCCTAAAAACCACTTGGAATATCATAGCAACCACCTAGCAAAATCTTAGCAGCACCTGGGATACCATAGCTTCCACTCAGAACACCCTAGCAACCACCTGGGATACCTTACCAACCAACTAACATCATCCTAGCAACCACTTAGGATAAAATAGTAACCACAGAGTAAAACTCTAACAGCCACCCAAGATATCATACCAATCACCCAAGCAACACCTTAGCAACCACCTGGGATACTATAGCAAGCAACCATTCAATCCTTGAAAGGTTCTTCACAATCTTTTCAAACATGGTTCTTTAAAAAACCAAAAGTGGTTCTTCTGTGGCATCGCTCAAAGAACCCTTTGTTGCACCTTTTTTTTTAATGGTGAAGTGAGTGATATGGCAAAAATCCAACAGTCGCGATAAACGATATTTAATATTTCTGAGATTTGTGAACAACATGGAACTGACAAAATGTACCAGCAATAAAGCAGAGCTACATTTAGAGTATTTAAAAAGGAAGAAGGGGGGAAATTAAACAATTGATAAAAAAATAAATAAACAAATAAATAAATGTCACAATGAGCTGACTTACAGTCAGATACTTGTCACTATGCAGTTTAAGCAGTTACTATACACTGGATGTTGTTGTTGCCGTTGTTGTTTACAAGTTCTATATAACTGGTCTTTTTATGATGCATGCAGTTGTTCAGTGTTCTAGGTGTGCTGACTGTACCCTTCATATAATCAGAAAAGAGTCTCATAATGGAATCTATCACAATAGTGATAACGAATTGTCATACTGACCGTCCATAATTGGTTGAATAATTCATTGGTTCTATCTGGAAAAGTTCTCGAGAACGTTTCCTGTAAATGAGAGTAAAACAAACAGCACACTGACCACAACATTCTGCACCCAACCACACTGCTTTATTTGTCTTATATGTTCTCCAGCAAGCCTGTAAAAGAACGCTCAGTTCTTGCATATTTGGCCCACCTTTCAGGGCTGGTTTGTTTCCAGGTCTTCCTCGTTTTCTCTTTCTAAGGGAAATATTTAATTCTGTGTATTCGAATGCAGTGTGTTTGAGGTGTATCTGTCACTTCATATTTATAATAGTGTAAATGATGATCTACATGTGCAATAAAAGGTGAAAAACTGCCTTCAGCTTCTCTTGTTCTTTTACTACACTTGAGTACATCACTCTGCATAGTCATCGCTGGAGTTTTTAATCGTTAAAAGTTTGGTTTCACTCAAATTAATTAGTACTGTCACGCTGCCCTCCAGTCCCTCCGTCATCACTTCCCAGCCTACTGACTCCATTTCCCATAACACCCCACCTGATCACATGAGAGCAGATCTCCCACACATGACTCTCCACCGTTTAGCCTCACCTGATTACTGATTCACCTCACCTGTTCCTTATTTCATGTGGCTTGTTAGTTTAGTATATAAGCCCGGGCTTTAGCACAGGGTCTTTGTGAAGTATTGCCCTTGTTTCCCGAGCCTTCCCGAGCCTTCCCGTCTGTTTTTCCAAGTGTGACCGTCGCCTTGTTTGTATTTGACTTTACCTTTTTGCCTTGCCCTCTCAGTATTGTTGTGATTTCTGGTTTGACCTTCTTTTCTGGATTTTGGACTTCGGTTTTTGGACTCCCCTCACGTTTACTGTTGTCGTGATCTGGCTCTTGACTTTAGACTAGTTGACCTTGATTTTGGATGCTCCTTTTGTTAATAAACCTAGGTACTTTAGTTGATTTAGTAATTCAAGTACTATGAGAATACCTAGATGTTAAATGATAATGTACTGTAATTATCTATTTTCCTTTTGGGGGGCTAGAGGGGTATAAAGCCCCCAGCATTGGGCTGTGGAGCAGTGGAACTGTGTTCTCTGGAGTGATGGAGCTCCATCCAATACCTTTGGGATAAGTTGGAGTGATCCAGAACTGACCATCCAACATCAGTAACTGACCTCACTAATGCTCAATCAAATCCTCACAGCAGTGTTCCTAGAAGGTTGGTCAAGGGTTCTTTAGTAAAGGGAATGAACCATGAGTTCTTGTAGAACCATTCTATGGTGTAAAGCCTTCCCAGAAGAGTAGAGGTTGTCACTGCAGGAAAAACTGCCTTCATTTCCGAACAAATGCTGCTGTCTACAAACTTCTGGACAAATCTTGACATTTAGATAAACTCTCAATTTCCCACCACTGTTAATAAGCTCCAGCTGCAGTTGTCAGTTAATGTCCATTGGCTAAACCCACTGGCCATTTTAGCAGAAATACCTGCCATCTAGATTAATTTTATAGCTGATTGTAGCTCATTTGTAAATTCACAGTTTATTAGCCCCCCTCTACCCTGTCCACCAATGTAAAGGGACCACCATATGACCACTGCTGATCAATTATTACTCAGGAAGTGGACTATTCTCAGCACTGCACTGTAAGGACATGGTCATCTACATCTATATACTGCATCTTGCTTAAGGAATCCCCTTTTACTTCTTTTGGCTTTTCCCTCATGTTTTACTTCGTGTTAGGGCTGCATCTGTAGTTTTACGCCGCTCTGTAAATTTGTAGATTTATACTCAGAAGATGAGAACTCTTCTGAAAATGAAAGCACCCCCTCCATGGAGTTTACCCTGTGCCTAAATAAATGGACACTCAGTAAAATTCTTGAATGTTCAATAGAGAAATGATCTCACAAAACAGGGACTGAATGAATGTATTTGCCATTGGAAATTCCCGCTTCAGACTGAGATGCAGTTTACTAAACATTCACTTTCAGCAGTTTGGGATATTTCTGTATTTCAAATCTCAATTATTCTTTCTCTTTGTAGTGTACATTATCATATTTCTTTGTATTATTATCTTGGTCTTGATAGTATTTGTACTCTGACTTGTCTTGGGTTCAAAAATATTTGTACTTGGTCTTGATAGAATTTGTACTTGGACTTGTCTTGGTCTTGATAGCATTTGTACTCTGACTTCTCCGGGACTCAATAGTATTTGTACTCAAACTTGTCTTGGTCTCGGTAGTATTTGTACTCAGACTAGTCTTGGTCTTGATAGTAGTTGTACTCAGACGTGTCTTTGACTCTACAGTAGTTTTAGTCAGACTTGTCTTGGTCTTGATAGTAGTTGTACTCAGACATGTCTCGGTCTTGATAGTAGTTGTACTCAGACATGTCTTAGACTCTACAGTAGTTTTAGTCAGACTTGTCTTGGTCTTGATAGTAGTTGTACTCAGACATGTCTTAGTCTCTACAGTAGTTTTAGTCAGACTTGTCTTGGTCTCGGTAGTATTTGTACTCAGACTAGTCTCGGTCTTGATAGTAGTTGTACTCAGACGTGTCTTAGTCTCTACAGTAGTTTTAGTCAGACTTGTCTTGGTCTTGATAGTAGTTGTACTCAGACGTGTCTTAGTCTCTACAGTAGTTTTAGTCAGACTTGTCTTGGTCTTGGCCATTGCTCTTACCAAATTCAGCCCCTGGTCTAATCAAGATTGTCAACAATGTAATAATAATTTTTTTCTGTACTTTCTTTTGTTTAGCATTGGTATTAGTCAGGTTAATTCAGAGTGGGCACTGATCACCAAAAACTTCCCAGTATTTCCAAAAAAAATGGACTGTTGGAGCAATGTTGAAAACTTTCATTTTCATATTACATTTGCAATATTACATAAGCAGAACATTGTCATGTTTCTGTTCCCTGACATCGAAACAAATGGAAAAGACTCAGAAGTGCAGCCTCAAACCTGCTGATGCAGAATATAACTGAATTCAGTGTAACTCCTTACACAACAAATTATCTTCTTAATTGTATAATTATATAATTTGATTTATACAGTAAAACATAATGAAGGAAATGTGTTCTGTTGTCTCGGGCGAGTCTGTAGAGGTATATATCACCAAACTATTTGGAGAGACAGACAATTGTGGAAAGGAAGCAGTTAGAGACTGCCTAAGTCTAGAATACTTAGAATACTTAAGTCTAAGGCTTAAGAGGACTTGACTGTTTTGGGGTCTTGAGCTTGACTTGGTCTTGGCCCCCTTTAGATTCAGTTTTGACTTGGTCTGGACTAGACATAGTCTTGGACTCAATAAAGGTGGTCTTGACTACAGCCCTAAGTACTCCTCTTGTATTAAGTGCTTTGGGCTGCATGTTTACGTGTCCAGCTGTGTATGTGTGAACACCTGGCTTGAATCGTTTTGCTAACAACACTGTTTATAAACTGCTAAGCTGTTAATGAAGCATTGAGCTAAAGTCACAGTTCACCTCTAAAAATGACCCCTTATGCACATATACACACACACACACAAACACTCACCGTGCTGAAAATCTAAGTTTAATTTCTCTTCATCTGATACAAAAACATTCTTAAATAACAAACTTGTTTTTTTAGATTTTGATGAAATTTTTACAAAGATAAATTAGCATTTTATAATACATTAATGACAACAATAAAAACTACAAACACCATTTTTACTGTACAGATTCATCCAGAAATCTTCAGGAAGTGTGTGTGTGTGTGTGAAGCACTTCAGGAAGTGTGTGTGTGTGTGAAGCACTTCAGGAAGTGTGTGTGTGTGTGTGTGAAGCACTTCAGGAAGTGTGTGTGTGTGTGAGGCACTTTATAATCATGTAAAAATAGAATTCTTTAGCGCTGCATACATTCACTTTTCGACAGCAACGATTGTCTCGCAGAAACATAAAACTGTGTGTGTGTGTGTGTTTGAGTGTGTTTGAGTGTGTGTATGTGTGTGGGTGTGTATGTTTATCATGTGTGTGGTGTGTACATGCATGCATGTACTGTGTGTGTGTGTTTTTGTGAATTTGTGTGTGTGTGTATTAGTGAGTGTGTGTGTGTGTGGTGTGTGTGTGTGCATTCTGTCTGTGTGTTTGTATGTGTTTGCATGTGTATCTGTGCGTGTGTGTGTGTGTGTGTTTGTGTGTGTGTGTGTGTTTGAGTGTGTGTATCTGTGCATGTGTGTGTGTGTGTGTAGGTGTGTGTGTGTGTGTGTGTGTGTGTAGGTGTGTGTGTGTGTGTGTGTGTGTGTGTGTGTGTGTAATGAAAAATAAAAACAGTGAAGCTTCACATCAAAAGTCGGCACTAAAAATTAAGATGTATGTGTGAAAGGAGAACAGTGGATCTGTGCTGAGCTTGATTGCTGTCAGGATTTAAAACGTCTAGAACACAAGGGTCAGTTTTCCGGACAGGCCTAGTCCTGGACTGTACAACATTCCAAATGGTGACCCTCCATTGAAGGGAAAATGTAATCAAAGTTCAATTCCTGACTGGGAAACTGACCCCATAACTAAAAGAGTTCTAGATATCTGGACAGAGCCTAAACAACAGGGCTGGACTCTGGAACACTAAACTAGGCAGGATTCTAGACTCCTAAACCACCCAAATCAGGTATGGTTCAACGAACCTAAATCAAGCAGGATTCTAGAACTGGATAATGGGCAGGGTTCGGGAGTCCAAAAAAAAGACGGTTCTTCCAGTGTTCTTTAGTAAAGAAAATTGTTCTATATAGAACCATGAACACTCATAGATCCCTTTGCATGATTAAAGGGTTCTTTGCATCATGAAAAGGTTCTTTAGATTGATGGAGAAAGTGCTGTACATGGTTCTTTTATGGAACCGTTTTTGAAAAGAGTTCTATATAGCACCAAAAGGGGTTCTTGTATTGATACAATGTCAAGCCTTCATCATGCAAAGGGTTTTTTGAGTGTTCAGTGATCTATATAGAACCTTTACTAAAGAACCCTTGAAAAACCATCCTTTTTAAGAGTGTAGAATATCAAAAGAGGGATTGGGTTCTAGAATCCTAAATCAAGTAGAATTCTAGAATCCTAAAATGGATCCTAAACCAGGCTGGTGTTTTAGAATACAAAATCAGATAAGATTCTAGACCCCTGAACCACATAAGGTTCTAGAATCCTAAATCATGCAGTATTGTAGAGTTCTAAAACAGCCAGGGTTCTAGGCTGGGTCCTGAGAGAATACTGAAAGAAGGTTAGTCCTAAACCAGGTTAATCCTAAACCAAGATTCTAGAATTCCAAAGTGGACTGGGTTCCAGAATTCTTGAATCAGGCAGGATTCTGGAATACTAAATGAAGCAGTGACCCAGATTATTAAATGAGGCAGGGTTTTGGAATATTAAAACAGACATGGTTCTGTAACACTAAACCAGGCAGGGTGGTAGAGTACTAATAGGGGCAAGGCTCTAGTATCCTGACCCACCAGGGTTCTAGCTGCCAGTCCAGAAGTTCACAAAAAAAGACAAACAGGACAAAAAAAAAGACCAGACAGCCGTGTCTCAGTGCGAGGTAAACAGTGCTGTTCGCTGAGGACTGAAAACAAGTACATTTCCCAGGTGTCTTTGCTGCATTACCACAGTGTTAAAGCAACAGAAGGGTTGGGTCGGTTAAAGCAGAACCCGCCCCGCTGCCACCCGCTGCGACGCCACTCCACAGAACCACTGCTGAGTTTCTACTGCTCCACCGTCCAGTGTAAAAAATGATCAGGTCAAATTTCTCTGCATAGCAATGACTGAGGAGCTGATGCTGCTACATGAGTTTCTGTCCTGAGAGAGAGGGAAAGGGGGGAATTGGGCTGTGGGTGCAGTTACAATAAGTGTCCACAAGATGGAGCCACTGTCCTTCTTATGTCACTGTCCTGCTCTGCTCTTCCTTCACTCGTGTTTTTTGTTCCTTGCTCTTTCTCTGAGTTCTGTCTTCTGGATCCTTTCCCTAATTTCCTACCCTCCTTCATCTTTTCCCCCCACACTCACTCTTTCTGTCTTTCAAACCACAGTCTCATTGCCCTTGCCGGCTTTGGCCCAGCCCTCGCCGCTCTGGTGGGTGCGAGCACTCCTGCGAGAGTGCAGCAGGCGCAGCGAGCAGCGCTGCCAGGTGTGCAGGGTTTTGGCAGACCACACCCACATGCCACAGGTGATGCCCACCAGCAGGGACATGAAAATCCTTAGCATTTCGGCTGCCATGTAGGAGTCCCGTGCCGTCTGGTGGAAATCGGCCCAGTTGGAGATTTGGTAGAAATAGCAGGCAATGACGCAGGTGGCGGGCACCGTGTAGAGGACAGAGAAGACGCCAATTTTCACCATCAGCCGTTCCAGCTTGTCCGTCTTTGTCCCGTCCTTCTGCAGGTTGGAGCGTATCTTGAAGAGCGCCACCAGCCCCGCTGCAATAAACAGTGTCCCAATCACCAGGTAGGTGAACAGTGGTGCTACCACAAAACCTGTTAAGGCGTCCAGGTTCTGGTTCCCGACATAGCAAAGCCCAGTCAGGTCATCCGCATCCACCAGCCGCATGATCAGGATGACTATGGTCTTGATGGCCGGGATCGCCCAGGCTGCGATGTGGAAGTAGGAACTGTGCATCTCTATGGCTTCATGACCCCACTTGAGTCCAGCTGCTAGGAACCAGGTTAGCGTGAGGATGACCCACCAGATGGAGCTGGCCATGCCGAAAAAATAGGCCAAGAGGAAGACCACGGCACAGCCCGTGTTCTTCAGACCCTCTTGTGCAAGAACAGGTACGGCCGCCTCGTCTAAATCGCAGGATATCCGCTCCCGGCCGGCAGTCAGCCTCACCAGGAAGGCCACACTGTAGACGTTGTAGCACATGCTGAGAAACATGATGGGCCGCTCCGGGTAGGAAAAGCGAGCAGAGTCCAGGAGGAAGGTCAGCACCGTGAAAGAAGTGGAGACGAAGCACAGCACGGCCCACACGGCCATCCACACATCTGTGAATAGCTTGGCTTGCCGGCGGTACAGCCCGGCATCGTATCCACACTGCAGGACGCAGCTGCTGCTCCGCTTGGCCCAAGCGAACTGCTCTGGGCCGCCACTGCCCAGTGCTACACACTCCTCCTCATGCGGGTGCAGGGTCCTTACAGCATGGAATGGGCCATCGTCCTCTGCCGGACCCTCCATACACATGTGGTTCTGGTCGTTGGTAGGAGGGAAAAGGCTGCAGTTAAGCAGCTCCGGCCACACAAAGCCAAACTCCTGCAGCACGGGCAAACATTTCCGCTTCACTGCCAGGCACATGCTGCCGCACGGGCCGATGGTAACCGGAACCTTCTCTGTACACATGGGAGCATACACCGCGCACAGGAAAAACTGAGGAGAAAGAGGAGAAAGAGAAAGCATATGAGTCACTAGTTACAGGAAAAAGCTAGAAGAGAGAGTGAATACAGAGGTCACTCAGTGGTACATGTCTCGGTCACTATTGGCGGCATTGTTTACTCTTCAACATCAGCATGTGAAGAAAAAATACTACTCTAATCCTTTTGTACTCTTCTGGGAAGGCTTTACACTAGATGTTGAACATTGCTGTGAGGATCTGATTGAGCATTAGTGAGGTCAGGTACTGATGTCGGATGCCCCTCTAGCCCACGCTTGGCATTGGGCCTGGTGACCTTAGGCTCATGTGCCGCTGCTCCATTCAGTCAATGCTTTTCTATGGAGATTATACAAGCTGTGTGGGTGCTGTAGCAAAAACCACTGTCACTGTGTACACATAATAAACAGACCCATATTTACGCAAACGCAAAATGAAAAAGACGTCAGTGCAAAAACACGACACGAAGCACAGAGACGATAACCTCAAACCAAAAACGTTTACATTTACTGGTTTGCATGTAAACAACAACCGAAGTGAAAGACGAAACACGGAGCACAGAGTGACTAATAGTGAGTCTACAGTAAACAAGTGAAGGGAAAGTGTAAAAACAACATGAATGAAGCATCCTGTGTATCTCAGTGGATTTGTGCTCTGACTTCAACAGCACTGCAACTTCCGCAACCTGTAAAATCCCCTGCAGCTCTGCATCACTTCTGGTAAAGTCAAGAGGCTTTCAGCACTGCTGATTTCTCTAGTGACTTTATTTATTGCACTACTGGATCACATTTACAGTGTGATTATCAGAGCTAAGAATGCTAATCATACTCCTGCACTGCTACTCTGAGTGGTCACTGTATGAAAAATATGATTGATAATGTGATAATAATAATTATATCACTGAATTTGCCATTGTATTTCTACACATTTCAATTATCATGCTACCTACTGCAATTCTAATGGAACTTACTGCGATTAAATGACCCCATACTGCAATTATCATGCTACATATTGCAATTCTAATGCTACACATCACTGTTGTCGGAACAACAGACAATGATCATATTGCTGCATACTGGAATTTAACTGCGTATTGTGATTACAATGTTTCATATTGCAGTTCTGTCATAATATGCAGCAATATAACTGCAATATGTAGCAATACAGTTGCAACATGTAACATTTAACAATATAATTGCAATGTGTCAGTATAATATATAGCAATATTGCAACATATAGCAATATAATTATCTTGTAATTATGTTGCTACATACTGATTATTATGCTGACACATTGCAATTATATTGTTAAATGTTAAATGCTGCAACTGTATTGCTACATATTGCAGTTATATTGCCGCATATTATGATTATATTGCTACTTTTTTCAATACTGCTAGAAGTTGCAATTGTATTGCTACATGTTGCAATTGCAATATGCCTTGCAAGAGATAAACGACACACTGAGGTAACAAGGTTAAAACACGCATTGTACTGACCAAAGCTATTTACCACTGTTGTGTTCATTTATTAAAGTGTTCATTTGCATATTGCAGCCTTTCGCAATGTCCAGTATTGTGATATAAATCAACAAATCAAATATTGTGCAGCCCTAAATCACAGCTGCAGGATGTTCAGATGTCTCACAGTCTGAGAAACTGTGATTAAAGTGGAAAAATTATACCAGTTGAGGAGACGCAGAGAGCACAGCTGCACAGCGACACAGCCACCACTTCACATTCAGAGTTTAACACGCGCCGAAAAAAACGTACAGCAATAAAACGACTGGATTCATGTGTACTTCATCATCTCCACATGGACAGAGTGCAGATCATCTCTGGCGCTGCAGCCGTGCGGCTCTGGTATGTTTTATTCATGTGGAAATGAGGGAGCACATCTGAATGGAACTCACTCAGTGTGTCTGTTTATGGGAGCGCGCTGGGCAGAGGAAATGTCGGATTTTCACTGCGGTCATTCCTGACCACTGAGGGAAACTGTAACCCAAACATGCATGCTTTTGTCATCACTGTAGAGCCCGCAGTGTTTTTAAGTATTGGCCCCCTGGCAAAGTGCCAACTGTAAGTCACTGTCTGGATTCAGATCTGTTAACTTGTTGCTCTCTCCACACAGGGGCACCTTCTTACTACATATAGGTGCTTACATATACATAAAACACATATGGGGCATGTTATAATTACATATACACCAATCAGGCATAACATTATGAGCACCTCCTTGTTTCTACGCTCATTGTCCATTTAATCAGCTCCACTTACTATATAGGTGCACTTAATTATAATTGTAGAACTACAAAGTGCACCTATATAGTAAGTGGAGCTGATTAAATAGACAATGAGCGTAGAAACAAGGAGGTGGTCATAATGTTATGCCTGATCACTGTAGGTACTTATATACTATATACTATATATACTACATATAGGTACTTCTATATAAATATAAAACAAACATGGGGCACTTTATCATTACATGTAGGTACTTACATATCTATATTACATATGGGGCATTATTATTACGTATAGGTAATTATATGTATATAGAGTTATGGGGCTCATTGCTATTACGTATAGGCACTTACATTCTTATATAATTACATATGGGACCTGGTATTATTACGTATGGGACTATATATACATGTATGTATGTATGTATGTATGTATATGAGATGTAAATATGAGCCCACGTCCTGACATGTTATAAAAACAAGTATAAGTGTGAGTGTTAGCGCGTGCAGTCCCCCCGCCTACCTTCAGCTGGCTCGAGCAGCCGTACTGTATTAAAGGTGTGAAGGTCTGTAGCTGGAGCTCCGCGTCCGCCTGCAGCACGTTCCCCACCAGGTTGGGCATGCGCGTTTGGTTGTAGCCCAAATCCAAACACATGGCCATGCGGATGGGCTCGCAGCGCGCGTCCTCCTCCACGCCAAAGGCGCGCGCACGCCCCGCTGCCAGCGCCAACAGCGCGAGCAGCGCGGGCAGCAGAAGCGGCTGCGGCGCGAGACCCGCAGGGGCAGCGCGAGCCATGAGGACGACCGGTCAGCACGAGGCAGAAACACAAGCACCACACACAGCAAAGAAAAACTACCAAACAACACGCAAAATAAACCCTAAAGAGTCCAGGTCCCGCGCGCTGCGTGCAAAAGCCTCCCCCCCGCGCGCTACTCTCGAAGAACTCCCAGAATGAGCGCTCGCGGTGGGCTGAGAGAAGGGAAGGGGGCGGGGCTACTGACCAGGGGAAAGGGCTAGCCAATCAGAGAGAGAGAGAGAGAGAGAGAGAGAGAGAGAGAGAAAATGAAGAGAGAGAGAATAAAAAGTGAGAGAGAGAAAGAATGAAGACAGAGACAGAGAGAGAATGTAGGGAAAAAGAGAGAGAGAGTGTAGAGAGAGAGGGAATGAAGAGAGAGAAAAAGAGAGAGAATTAATAGAGACAGAAAGAGTGTAGACAGGAAGAGAATAGAGAGAGCAAGAGAGAGAGAAAGACAGAGAATGAGGAGAGAGACAGAGAATGAAGAGAGAGAGAGAGAGAATAAAGAGAGAGAGAGAGAGAGAGAGAGAGAGAGAGCAGAGAATGAAGAGAGAGAATAAAGAGAGAGAGAGAGAGAGAGAGAGAAAGAGAGAGAGAGAGACTCATTCCTTTAAAGGGGGGAGAAATCCTCCATCCTCACCATCCTTTACAGTGGTGGTGATAGAGACCAGGGGTCGCCATGACTACAACACAAATATAGACATTTTATTTACTATCCAGAACCACCAGTGAACCTACACGAGTCTTCTGAGTTTATATGGAGTGTTGATGATGAAAATAGTGGACAATCTGAAATAATAAGTTTTCTTTGGGGACTATTTTGCCTCACAGCGCCCTGCATGTATCCCTCCACCATGAATGGAGTTTAAGTTCTCTAAACTATCATAAAACAGCGTCTCAGTCATCAGGCAGTGAATTCATAACCATTTCATGTAGTAACTTTCTGTGAGGGAGCTTTTAGAGGTGGACGTCTGGTTCCTATCACCACCACTGTGAACAGTTCTGACTCGGTAAGTTTATCTAGAACGGAGCGTTTCACACCAAACCGACTCTGAACGACTCTGAATGATCATTTAACTCCCTTTTAAAGCTCAGTCCACTTCAGGTCAGTGGGAGGTGTGTGTCTGTGGGGGGGGGCGCGGGGGTGGAATGCAAACTCCTTTGTTTTTGTTTACTGTGTGTGCCGGGAGCCTGAGGGCCGCCCAGATCCGAGAGCAGATAGCAGCCAGAGTGACCTTTGACTCCCTTCGTGGGAGGACAGTCCGCCAAGAGAATCTGCATCAACAGCCTCTAAACTATAAACATCGCTACGCTCTTAAAAAGACAGTTCTTCAAGGGTTCTTTAATAAAAACATTGGTTCTACATAGAACTAACAACACTCAAAGAACCATGTGCATGCCTAAATGGTTCTTTGCATGGTGAAGTTGTTCTTCAGATTGATGGGGGATGTGTTGTGTATGGTTCTATATAGAACCATCAAGGGAAACAAACTTGAAGAACCCTTTTTGATGCTATACAGAACCATTTTTAAAAAGGTTTATACTGAACCATATATAGCACATTCTCCATTAATCTGAAATGGTTCTTTGCATGGTGATATGTGCTATATATGGTTCTGTATCGGACCGTTCGAAAATGGTTCTGTATAGCAGTGAAAAGGGTTCTTACAAGGTTATTACAATAGACGAGCCCTTTTTGGTGTCATATAGAACACATTCTCCATCAATCATGCATGTGGTTCTTAGATTGTTCAGGGTTCTATATAGAACCATTGTCTTTGCTAAAGAACCTTTGAAGAACCATCTTTTTTCAGAGTGTACATCTGTGATCATGCCTACAGGTAAATTTGGTTTATTATATTATTGGGAATTGATTACAAAATTGGGTTCTACAAGCGCTGTTTCAAAAACGTCTTCTGATTTCTTGATGAGATCACTGTGCACCAGTAGGGGGACAAATAATATTAATCAATGATATCAAGTTTTCACCTCGGCCAATCACGGAGCAGCGAGGTGATACGGAGTATCGACCTATGAAAAGTGAAGAATGATTTTGCCTTTGAACTTTGGTGCTGGTGAAGACTTTAGAGAGAACCTGGCCCAGCAAAGAAAACAAACAAATGGATCCTCAACCAAATTTCCCACTCAAAGCCCAGATCACAAACTAAAGCTCTTATTTTGGACACCCTTGCAGTCAAAAGCTCCGAGGTTCTTGGTGCACAAATCACCAACAACCTCCCTTGGACCCTCAACACCACCTGCCTTGCCAAGAAAACCCAGCAGCGACATCACTTCCTGTGAAAAATGACGAAAGCAGACCTCCCCTTCCCTCCTCACTACATTCTACAGGGGGCAGTGGCCAGCATCCTGACCAGCTGTCTCACTGTCTGGTTTGGGAACGGCACTGTCTCAGACCGCAGGACCCTACAGCTGATCGTAAGGATAACTGAGAAGATTGTTGGGGTTTCTTTACCCACCATCAACACCTCCTACCACAATCCTCCGGTATCAGCTGGCCGAAGGTACTGGAGGATCTGTTCCACCACCTCCAGACTCCGCAACAGCTTCGTCCCCGAAGGCGCTCAGATGACTGAACGCACTGATGCCTCCCAACATCCACCTGGACCAATCTAGACCCTCTCCAACATTCACCTTGACTAATCTAGATCCTCTCCAACATTCTTCTGGACTAATCTAGACCCTTTAAAACATCTACCTGGACTAATCAAGACTCTCTCCAACATCTACCTGGACTAATCTAGGCCCTTTAACACATCCAACTGGACTAATATAGACCTTTTCCAACACATACCTTGACTAATCTAGACCCGCTCCAACATTCACCTGGTCTAATCAAGACTCTCTCCAACATCCACCTGGACCAATCTAGACCCTCGCCAACATCCACCTGGACTAATCTAGACCCTCGCCAACATCCACCTGGACTAATCTAGGCCCTTTAACACATCCAATTGGACTAATATAGACCCTTTCCAACACATACCTTGACCATTCTAGACCCGCTCCAACGTACACCTGGACTAATTTAGACCCTCGCCAACATTCACCTTGACTAATCTAGATCCTCTCCAACATTCTCCTGGACTAATCTAGACCCTTTAAAACATCTACCTGGACTAATCAAGACTCTCTCCAACATCTACCTGGACTAATCTAGGCCCTTTAACACATCCAACTGGACTAATATAGACCTTTTCCAACACATACCTTGACTAATCTAGACCCGCTCCAACATCCACCTGGACTAATCTAGACCCTCGCCAACATCCACCTGGACTAATCTAGGCCCTTTAACACATCCAATTGGACTAATATAGACCCTTTCTAATACATACCTTGACTAATCTAGACCCTCTCCACCTGCACTAATCGAGAGCCTTTAACACATCCACATGAACTAGTCTAGACCCTTTCTAACTTGTCGAGACCCTCTAAAACATCCACCATAGTCTGATCACACACCCCTTTATCATTACTGCATGCCTGCACTTTAACTTCCTTAACTATCTGAATGCAGCTGAAACTCAATCTTTCCATACAGTTTAAAGTCACAGTGTTGCACTAGCTTCTTCATCACTAACATGTAGCATTACATTTGGAGGAGATGGAGGGAAAAGAGGAAGAAGACCAGCAAAAAGATGGATGGAGACAATCAGAGGAATCATGAACCGGCCATTCAGAAGCCTGAAGACCCAAACAGAGGACAGGACATTCCGGACGATCTGTATGGTCACCAGTAGTCGGAACAGACTTGATGGCACTTAATAACAATAATAAAATCAGCGGCTAGGCTAGTCGAGTGGCTGAGTGTAGCAGCAGGAGCAAGAGAGCTACATGACCTACGAGAACTTTGTGGAACATGCTACTCTGCAGGCGGTTACAACTCTCAGTGTGTTTGTAGTAAACTTGCGCAGCTGCTGGTGGTTTGAATCGGAATGAAAACAGAGCATATCTGAAAGAGAGGGATGAAAGACAAGTGTGGGTGCATGGCGGGGGGGGGTGTAAATATGCACTGTTTCATCAGCAGTCACGGCGCCCGAGCACCGGCATGTTGCCATGGGGACACACTGAAAAGTTTATTTACATCAAACAGAGTGTTCGGCAGCAGCTGCGTGTGTATAACACACACACACACACACACACACACACACTGTACATATAGCACTGTACATATAGCACACAATTGCAATCTGAATAATATACTGCTTTCATAGTATATAAAGCTAATTTTGTTGCAAATAAATTGTTGCCAGTCAGAACAAAATCTTATATTTCTGTTAATTTTTATATATAATTTTAAAGTTCTAGCTACCATTTACTCTGTGGCAGACTTTGACAAATTGACCAATACAAATGCAAGCTGACCTGAAATAAATTTTTTAAGTTACAATCATATTTCCTTCTTCTGCATTTTTTCCTCCTTAATTTTTGGAGATGGTTTCTTCCAATGGCAACAGTATTTATATACAGGCATATATACAATCGAAAAAGCAAAAGACCCTCAGTCAAGTTACATTTGACAAATTACATTATATAGTGAAACTAATAGCTGTGTAAAAAATATTTCAGAAACAAAAATAAAAAAAAAATAAAAAAACAATCATATGCAAAAGTTCAAACTCCCTCAGTCAAATTATGTTTGACAAATTACATTATATAGTGAAACTGCTGGCTGTATAGGAAATATTTCAGAAACAAAAAATTAAAAAAATTAAAAATACACATTTGGTCAAATTATGTTTTAGGTTTGTCTGAACTTAAAAATAATTGAATTTTTTTTTGAAAATTGAAAATCATTTTCCATATAGCTATCAGTTTCACTATTCAAAACACTTAAATATGACATTTTTTGTGTGTACAATTTCTGTTTATTTGCTAAGTTTAACATAATGGCAACAAGTAATGCATAGAACTGTTGCACATGCCACATTTTCTTTAAATTTAAATTAAGTTTAAATTTTTTTAAAGTGTAAACATTTAATAAATGTTTCATTTTTTTCTAATCTGTTGAATGCAAATAAACAGTAAACTTTCATTAAAGTTGGCAGAAACATGCCCTGTTGTTCTCTGTTGATAACTTACTTTAACTTTGAAAATCATCAACATTTCATTTGACTGG